AGAATTTTCATTAGGTCTTTATCTAAGTATATAAAATAATGTTTTATTTGACCAAGTGTTCTGTTTGCTTTTCCTGCAATCATACCTATATGATTTTTCCATTTTATATCATTAAACATCAGGACCTCTAAATCTTGTTCCAAAGATGTTTTAATCATAATGTAATGATTTTCATTGCTTGTTGGTTAGGTCATATAATAATGGCTATATAATTATATTGTTGGTTGGCTCATATATTATGGCTAATAATTATTGCAAGGCTTTTTTTTCCCTATATGCATAATTTTGCATTTTTCGTTGTTTAAGTGTAATAACCATTTTTTACTCTAATTACTTAGGTTCAATAAATCCTCTTGCATTGCATAGTTATCATTGATATTTGTAATCACCAATGTAATTTTTGTATTGTGGGCATACAACTTACAGCAATTTTTTTATTTCTTGTGATATATCATCAATATAGATGACAAATAATAGCGGACCTATTACTGAGCCTTGTGGCCCTCCACTTGTTACCTCCTTCCATTCTGATTTATAAGTACCAAGGACAACTCTTTAAACTATATTAGTCAGAAATATATATGCTTTGAACCAGTTTATTAAAACTTCAATACCATAATATATATGCTTCAAAGCCAGAATATATATGCTTTAAACCAGTTTACTAAAACTTCATTTTCACAATATGCTTTCAATTTTATTAACAATCTTTTGTGTGTAACTGTATCGAATGCTTTGGAAAAGTCCAAAAATGCTATATCAATAATTGTAAGTGTAATTAAATCGAAAGACTCTAGTAAATTTGTGCAACAGATTTTACTACGGACAAAGCCATGCTGCGAATCAGATATAATCTTGGCCTATGTTGATCTTCTAAGGATTGCAAATTTTTAATTTTAGATTTATTGGATCTTAATTTTTCACTTTGAATAAAATCTTTTAGTTCTGGAATTCCTATTTAAAAAATAGATTTAACAAAATTTTCATCCTATTTGATTTTTAATATTTTGTTTTAAGTTTCTTTTGACATATGACAATATAGAATATCCAATTTTTTTGCAATTCCATTTGGCAAATTTAGTTGACAATATTTAAAGTGTTGCAAGATATCCATACCCGTTGAAAGTTACATTCCTAAACCATATAGGTTTTTATTAAAATAGTATTACCAATAATATATAAATAGTATAAATAAGCGCGTATTATTTATTTTACAGAGTATAATAGTGAGATGCATCGGTGTTGATATTGAGATGAAAATGTGTTTTAGTGACCATGACTTATTTTCAGGTAAATACAAAATATCATAAAAGCAAATCAATAACTGTACATTATTTTTATTTCTTTGCAACATATACCTGAAATAACAGGCGCAACTCTATCAATAATATGAAAATCTTTTTAGAAGATCTCAAACTGTTATTGCGCAAAATCTTGTGTTTCTAATATCTCATATTAATAATTGTTCAGTTACTTAAATTTTTATTTTGAATTTTAAAATTTGAAGTCAAAAATGTAAATTTCAAATATTAAATCAATGTAGTGGCTTTATATTAAATGTTTTTTTATAAAAAATTAATTCATATGAAACTTTAGTAAAAGAACATAAAGTGTAATGATTTGCTATTTATTTTAATTTGGGAAATGGTAGGCGGAGGTGGAATAAAGGAACTCAAGGAAACTTACCTTCAAATACGAATCTAATTAAAGTAGCAAGCAATGTACATAATTTCTAACCAAAACTTTTTTATTATATTAGAAAAAATGTATTGGTATACTCCAAATCCTATCTTAATACCACAACAAAGTCATAAATGTTGCAAATTTACGAATAATTTGAATAATGCTTGGTTATAAAACAAAAACAAATATACGTGTTATTTTAAAAGCAAAATATATGTAGTGTGGGACATTTTTTAATTCAGCTAAAATGGTTTATATTAGACCCTCCCTCAACATCACAGACATCAGAAATTTTTGACAAAAAAATGGACATTTTCGTTTCAAAAATGAACCTTGAGGGAGGTCTAAAATGGTCAGAAAGTGACCGATATGTTTTAAAACCTATTTTCTATACATTTGCAACAAATTTAACAAGACACGAATATTTTTTGAAAATTCTCTTATTCTGAGGCACCTTAATATATATATATATATATATATATATATATATATATATATATATATATATATATATATATATATATATAATATATATATATATATATATATATATATATATATATATATAAATATATATACATATATATATATATATATATATATATAAATATATATATATATATATATATATATATATATATATATATATATATATATATATATATATATATATATATATATATATATATTGATATATATATATATATATATATATATATATTTCTTGAGCAACGTAAGAGCAAGAAATGTGAACCTATTTTAAAGAAAAACACAATTTTTTTTAATCTTGACATGTTTAGTAGTTAACATACTACATTTTCAAAATTTTCCAGCTTTGTTCCCTTTTGTTATAAAATTAGTCTTCTACGTTATTTAATTAATAGAATGTATAAAATCAACAATAAATGGCTAGGATTTGATAAGGACATAAAAAATCTATTAAATATTTTAAAAAATAACCAATATCCACCTTGTATAATGGACACTGAAATTAAATTATTTGTTAATAAAAAGTTAAATCCATCTGCGATAAATAGAATTGATTACCCTAATATAATATATTATAAGCTTAGGATTTTACTCAAATTTTACTGAATCTAAGGTTAATAAAATCATTAAAAAATATTGTAAAGATGTTATGATTAACTTAATTTTCACTTCCAACAAATTACATAACAGTTTATGTATAAAAGATCCACTTCCTAAGCTGCTCAAATCCAATGTTGTTTACAAATTTCCTTGTGCTGGATGTAATGCCAGTTATATTGGAGAAACCTCCAGACACTTAACAACAAGGATTTATGAGCATCTTACAAGTGACAAACAATCTAATGTTTATAAATTTAATTTCATCTGTTGATTGTAAAAATCTAAGTTACAGTAATTGTTTTAAAATATTGGATAATGCTCCTAACATAAGCAAATTGAAAATTAAAGAAGCACTTAATATTAAATGGGAAAACCCATCTTTAAATAAATAAACTGTTCATTAATTCTATTTGTCTGTTAATATTTCTCTGTAATGTCTTCAAATTTTGAATTTATATTTATATCCAAAGTTTTAAATTGTAATTTTATCTTTTGAAAATGTAGTATGTTAACTATGAAACATGTAAAGATTAAAATATATTGTGTTTTTCTTTAAAATATGTTCACATTTCTTGCTCTTACGTTGCTCAAGAAATAAGGAAAGTATCGTTAAAAAAATGCGCTAACACTCATTACTTAATGTACATTTTAGAAACTAAATGTACTAATTTTTGTCAAACAAAATTAAACTATTGGGTTGTTGATTAAAGAAAAAGGATAGTGTTTGAATAACTGCATTTATAAATAATTAAACTTGTATTCAGTAAGAAATGAGTAGCAGAAGCTATTTATTATTTTTAAACAATTTGAATTGCACAACAAAGCTGATAGGAACTTCAAGCTGCTAAGTTGAGAATCTGCACTGTAAATTCTGAGCAAGTTAAAAACTCATTTTATAGAAAAGATATTAGTCTTTGGTTATCAGATTTATTTGAAATGCCTAAAAAAGTTTTTTTTTTTTTTACGAATAAATTAAATGACTTTAAAAATAATTTATTAAATGAGTTTATAAATTACTAATTGTTATTATATGTTTGTGTATTATTGTTTTTTTTTAAAGTAATTTATTTGATATATTCTTTTATCATGCGTAACTTTTTTTAGTTTTAGATACAAATTTGATTTATTGTTATAACAGTGAATAAATTCAAATCTGACTTTACAGTTACTGTAGCAAGTTTCTGATAAATCACAAGTAAAAATAAGCTTTAAATATATATATATATATATATATATATATATATATATATATAGAAATTTTTGGAGGAATTGAAGTTTATCTAGTAACTAAAATTTGAGTTTTTCTGTTCTGTGCAAGATTCCGCTTCAGACTTAATTTATTATTTGTTAGTATTAAATTTTCATTACAAGTATTTTGAAAGAAACAATAAGTGTTTTTTGTATCTAGGTTAAACATAAATAAAATTAAATTTTTTATATCTAATAAGTTGCTTTGTTGTTGAGTTTTTCAAAGTAAATTACTTAATAAGCTTATAATTAACTTATTTTAATTAAATTTCTTACAGTTTCTTGATATTATATCTTTGAGAAACTTTTTATTCAAATGAAAGAATATAATAAAAAAACTAACACCAACTATGGTGTACAAAGATTTTTTAATAAAAGTTTTTGTTCAATAGAGTTACTAATTAGCAAACAAATTTTTAGTGATGAACATAAATACTCATATGAGTACCAAAAAAGATTTTTTTTATTAGAATAACTTCAAAAATAATCTTAAGGATCCAAGTAAAATAATATTATATGACCAAAGGGTTTTTCTATGGCCAAAAGAAAAGAATTGGTTAAAAAAACTTATTTTAGATTTTTTACATAACTGGATTGATCTTGGTTTAGATCGTTTTTATCAATTAATGCTCATGCTTATCAAATCATCTTAACAAATATAATAAGTAATAAATATAATAAATATCTTTTGAATCATCTTAACAAAGTTAATAAGCGCACAAAAAGTATAAATGTAGAAACCAATTCACAGAACAAAAATATTTGAAATATTTCAAATTTAATTAAACAACTTCTTTTAAAAACATCTCATATTTTTTTTTTTGCTTGACTTTATAAACACCATGAACACATTAGATTTTCAAAAAGCTTCTCTTATTTTTAAATTAATCTAATTATGTTTATATTAAAATTATTAAAAAACTCAGAGAATGAAAAGCAAAACAAAAAAACAAAAAAAAAAACTAAAAAAAAAAACTCACGGAAAAGCAGAATAGCTAATAATTGTAAAAACTAATCCTGCAATTGATAGTCCACAACCAATCCATGTAACAACTTCAAGGCCAAGTGATTCTTCATTTGATTGATAAACATTTAATATTTTTGCAAAGCTTGTTAAATGATTGCATTGACATATTATCTCCAATGAAGACATACGGACAATACTGCATCCATCAGAAGACTATGTTTTTTCTATTTAATAGAAATAAGCTTTTCATAATAACATTTCTATAACGTGTAAAAAGTATTTTTTAATTTTAACTTTTAATTATAAGCTATTCAATTAATATATAAACTTCCTCACGCCAAAATATTTATGGGATATCTCACTTTTTAAATAAGTATGCAGTTTGATGTAAATCTATGAGCAAAACATAGATTAATATTTCATGCCTTTTTTACCAGCATAATTATTTTTTTTAACATAAAGTATTACAAAAAAGCAAACCTTAAAGTTCATAAATTCTAAAATCTCAGAATAAAAATCTCATAAAACTTTTATGTCATACTGTTGCTTTGTAGTGCAAACAATTTTTCAAACTTTTAGACTTTAGTTAAACTTCTTCAAAAAAATTTTTTTTATATATATAGGTGGTATATATAAAGTGCTTAATTAAACTCTTAATATACTTTTGTTAGATCCCTTTTACTTTTTTAAAATAAAATGAGCAATTGACAGTTATTTTTTATATGTAGGAACAAATCTTCATAAAAGTTTTCCCAGATATTTTATCACAAAGTGTCTGATAATGAATTCCCAACACCCTGATTGTTTTGTACACAACCACACCTTTTTTAACAAAATTTTGTAATTGAATACATGTATATAGTCACCTTTGCTTTGAGTGACCATTTTTCTTTTTAAATTTTTGTTGTGCTATTCTAAAAGAATCAAAATAAAAAAATAATGAGCTTTATGTTAAAAATAAATAAACTGATCATTTAATAGGCATATAATATGTTTAGAATTAATTTTTTTTAGTTCATACTCATTGTACATACAAAAATACCTCATTGATATTATAATGATTAGCAGTTTTATTGATAATAAAAATATAACGTTTAAAAATATTATGTTCAGTTTAGAAACAACTTTTATGTTACCCTTTAAATTCCCTTTGTTGAAATGCTTCGAACAGCTGCTACTTAAAAAAAAAAATTCATGTGCTGGCATAATATATAGTTATTGCAGTTTTTATGTAATCTTATAAAAATATGTAACAATACTGTTCATAATTATAGAAAATTTATAACATTTAAAAATGCTGTAAAAATTAAAGAAACAATATTTAGAACTACATTCTGGCGTTTTATTTAAGTACTTAAGAAATAATGCATTCAAGAAAACACTTTTAAAAACCATAAAAAAAGGTATTCATAAAAAAAAAAAAAAAAAAAAAAAAAAAAAATTATAAAATCGAGTAGCATTTTGTAATAAATTGCAAAATATATAAGTAAAATATGGTATTAGGAGTTTTATTGAAACTTAAAAAAGAGATTAAAAGAACTTTTTTATTAATTTTAATTAATCTTGAAGCAAATCTTAATTATGAATATTGGGTAAAAGCTGCTGTATCACATGTAAAGTTAATAGTTTAGCTCTCTTGCTTAGTTGATAAAACTTAATGTTCAAGGCAAATAGCAATCATTTATATTCATTTTAACAAAAAAAATCTTTTAAAAATAAATCCATTAAAAATGTGCACAATACAACAATAATATTACACTATGTGTTCTGATGCAGAAAATACATACTATTTGTTTTGATAAAGAAACAAAACCAAGAGAAAGTGTAAAACTAATTAGTCAGCTGTGTTAGAATTTTCTACAACTGCAATCAATTCCTACTTTTTTATTTAAAAAAAAAAAGAATTTATGAAGATTATAATTACATTAATTAATTATTAATACTTTGACCAAGTTTAAATTGGAATCTTTACTTTCTAAACCACCCTGGTCATTTTAATATTTGAAATTCTTAAACAACATTACTTACTTTTTTTATTTTTTAATGTTTTCAGATAAAAGTTAAAGAAATATACTCATGCATAACAGAGAAGTGTTCATAATTTAAAAACTAAAATTTTTCTACTACATTTGTGCTTCCGTTTTGACTGAAAAAGGATTAGCATGCTACTATTCTTACTATGAGATAATTGAACTACAAACATATATAACATAAAGAAAACAATTTATAAACTGTTCAAAAATATAAAAGATATCTAACAAAAGAGTTAAGAAAAAAAAAAGCAAAAGAACTATGTTAAAAAAAAAAAACTTGAAAAAAAAAACTAAAGAATTTTGAGAAACAAACCTTTTACTTTATAAAAACTGCACGTAACGCTGCCTAATTTTTCAATCTCTGAAACACCTGAAAGCTTGGAAAACTTTATATTAATTAAACTGCTGGAGTCACTCACATCGATGCCATTTAAAGAAGCAGAAAGAATTAGACTTTCTATGGTTTTATTTACTTCTGTGAAAAAAGAACTATCTTTGTAAATATATGAATAAATTTGAATTTTATTTCCACTGTTAAACAACTTTGAAGGAAGGACTATATAATCATTAAACTTTTCTAACTCATCATTAAAATCACCACTTGATATGTTAACCCCAATGTTATCGTTGTGTTCTGAAGAATAAACATAAACAGGTTTACCATTTGGTTTGATTGAATATGATGTCAACCCTAAGTTTTTAAATGATATACTAACATTATTACTCTGCTGCTTTCCCAAATCATCCGATAAAAATAAAAACTCAGTGGATGAATTATAAATCTGATTTGCACTTTGAATTAAACTTAAATTTAAACTTAACAAGCTATTAATTGATGACAAAATACCATTGGTCACCTAAACAAAATGTAATTAGATACCACAAAAAAAAATTGTATATATATATATATATATATATATATTTATGTATATATATATATATATATATATATATATATATATATATATATATATATATATATATATATATATATATATATATATATATATATATATATATATATATATATATATATATATATGTATAAATATATATATATATATATATATATATATATATATATATATATATATATATATATATATATATATATATATATATATATATAAATATAAACACTCTTCCAATTTTTTTCAATAAGTTGTTTTGCTATCAGTAGGCTTATCAAGAATACCTTAAGAAGTACCTTAGGAATACTTCCTGATGAGCCTACTGATGGTGAAACAACGTGTCGAAAAAAAATTAGTTAAGTGTTTTTACTAATTTATTATTGCCCTGTTCTTTAAGAACATTGAGCACTCTATTTGTAGAATACACTAACATAATCTATATATATATATATATATATATATATATATATATATATATATATACATATATATATATATATATATATATATATATATATATATATATATATATATATATATATATTTATGTTGTAAAATCTTATTTACTACTTCATAAAAATATACTCACAATTTCTGAAGAACCATTGACACTAATAATATTCTTTAAAATTGTAGAAACCAATTTAATATCATAACTGGATGTTAGGTAACCATTTTGAAGAATGCTATTTAATTTCATTGTAACATTCAGAATATTTTCTATTGTAACATTAAGCTATAAAAAATGGAAATAAAGAAGAAATATAGAATAAAATTATTTACATATACAGAGTATTGATACTCAAGGCAATTAACAATCAGTTAAATTATTATTTTTTTTAAATAAAAAACATATGGGATGATCCATAAAGTACATACGCTTTTATTTTGACTCTTCTCCTGCCTGCATTTTGCTATAGGTTTATTTTAGTACCCTCCACCTCCCTAAAAGTAACTACAATTTTAACCTACCAACCCAACATTTTATGATAATTTTTTTAATTTAGTGTCTCCTTACTTTTATAATTGACCCTCTGCCCCTTATCTTATATATGCTCTTTGCAGACCCCTCATCCCCATCAGAGCATATATACTTTATGGACGATCCCTTTAATCAGTTATTGCAAGAAGTACAACTAAATTTGTGTTAAAAATAGATTAAAAAAAAAAAAACGGTAATAGAACTAGTGCTAAAAAACAAACATAACAACTAACATTTCTTCATACACAGAATGCAGAAATTAATTTAAAATAAGATATTGAAATTAATTTCATGCAAAATCATAATTCTTGCAAATCCAAAAAAAAATTGATATAAAAATCCAGCACCTATGCAAACAGCAAGAATAAAGCAATTCTGGTAGTTAAAAAAAAATAGCAAAGAGCTTAAACTGAATACCCACTTTAAACAAAACACATTTGTGATATACTTTAATTTGATCATATAAACCTTTTAAAATACTAAAGTCATTACTTCTAGCTACCCAAATGTCAGACTACAACCATGACACATACTAACTATATCAAATGTAAACACGGCCTTACTACCATCATTTGTACACATTAAATTGTTAACTTTATACTTCAGGCAATGAATTTGTTTGATTTTTGCAACAAAGTTAAAAGATAAAAAGAAATCAAAGAGATACAGCCTATTGTTTAGTTGCTAAGAATTATTTGATGCTAAGAACATTTTGTCCCAGCTGTTTGTCATGTTATACTAATTAAAGTAATTTTTTTAACAGCAACATGCTAAGAGTTACAGTCCTTTGGTACTCTTTGAAGCTTAAAATTTTGGATTTAATGTACCATGACTAAGAAACACATGGGATTATGTTTGTTGAGTGTTTATAGCAAAAGTGTGTGGAGTTAAAAATAGACTTCATTGAAATCATCCCAATCATTAAAAAAAAATCGGTACTGACCGCAGTCTCATTTTAAAGATGGATATTTAAGAATATTTGCGCTTTGGAACCACAACTAACTTT